CTGAGAAGGTGATTGAGACTGGGTGTGGTGGAGTGTGCCTGTAAACCCAGTGCTTGGGAGGCTGAAAACAGGAAGATCACTGTTGAGTCCGATCCACGTGGTAAGACTCTGTGAACCCTGTAGACCCTGTACTAAATACATTTAAAAGGAAAGAAACAAAGAGACAAAGTCTCATATAATTCAGACTGTCCTTGATACAATCCTTTTTTTTTTTTGGTGGAACTGGGGATTGATCTCAGGCCCTTGTGCTTGCCAGGGAAGCACTTATTCTACTGAGCTATCTCCGCAGCCCTTTGACACAATCCTTTAGCCTCCTGAAACTTGACTCTTGGCCAAGTGCTAGGATCACAGGCAAATGCCACAATGACCATACAATATTCAACATTATAACATTACTTTTTTTCCATTTTAAAAGAAATTGGGTATGTACAGCTGGTTGAAAATGAGTAAGTCAAATACAGTATGCCTAAACCTTAGTTGTGACAGTTTTCCTGCTCTGTCCTCTCCGTAGCTCTTCAAGAACTACAGTGTAGAATTGGTGTGGTCATCTGATTGTGTCAGGCAAAAATGTTAATTCAAAATTGCTTTTTTCCTGACTATAAAATTAATGGGATTGAGCTATGTAATTTCATATGTGGCCTTTTTATTAACAAGATGTGAACATCCACATTGTAATCCTTCAATATATCTCTCTAGACTACATTAAACTTCAATTTCATTAATACAGTGCAGTGTATTTTTTGTTGTTAGATGTTTACATTTTTTTCCTATAATATAGAAACAATGATGAACTATACTCCAGTCCTTTTTTCCAGCCCTTGTTTTTCTGTTCTTCTCTCCTTCCCCACCTCCCTTCCTGCCTCCCTTTTGTGCTGCAGATTGAACATGAGGCCTTTTTTATTGTAATTACCTGCTCAACTTCTGAGCTGCATGCTCAGCCACAATTCTGATTATTTTCTGAACATTCTAGAAAGTGAAAGAAATTAGTCATATCCTATCAACATATATTTATGTACAATTTAAAAGATGTCTTTCCAAATTTGTTTTGCAGCTGAGCTCTTGGGGATTAAGAGACTGTTCTTTGTGTATGAGCAAGTGGGAAATGATGCTGTGCTAGCTGACCTCTCCCTTGGAGCTGCTTCTGCTGCTGCTGAATGTGGTTGCTCAATTTCTCAGGACACGAAAACTATTAAGAATTCTGTAAAGGACTGAAGGCAAGGACTAATACATCTTGTCAAATTACTAATGTTCTCAGTTATGGAAACCCAATATAAATTTCAGATTAGGAACCCTATATAATATTTTTTTCTGTTTAGTTAAATCTCTTCTTTGTAACTTGTAGAAAAGAATTCTATAATGCAACCTTTTATTGCATTTGTTCTGATGTGCAACTGTAGGAACTATACCCATGTCCCAGAATAATCATCTCTGTACTTTGTTGGTAAACGAAGACTAATAAATTGTTGACTTTTTTGTAAACTGTTTGGGAATAGCTATATTTTAGTGCTTCTTGAACAGTAAGCACTCCTTAGATTTGCTTGTGTTTTATAGTTATCTGTTTTCTTTTGTAGTTTTAGTCATTGGAATTAGTTTTCTAGTTGTGATAACATCACTGTAAAATTACAGTATGTTTCAAAAGTTGGGATTCAAAACATGGAGGGTGGTACTGGGAGAGAAATTATATTTATTTATTTATTTGCGGAATCGGGGATTGAACTCAGGCCCTTACGCTTGCTGGGTAAGCACTTATTCCACTGAGCCATCTCCCTGGCCCCAGAGAAATTTTAATTAGGACTGGCACACATTAATGTAGCAATTTGTTATGATTCAACAAGCAGTGTTTCAGGGCTGGCCAGATAGCTCAGCAGACTAAAGCACCTACTTGGGCAGACTGTGGACCAGGGTTTGACCCTTGGTACCACATGCCATGCAGGCTCTGCCCCTCAGCCCGCCCTCAATCCCCATGATTGAAATCAGGCATGGTGGCGTGTACCTGTAATCCCAGAGCTTGGGAGGCTGAAAATAGGAAGATAACCATGAGTCTGATCTGTATAGTGAGACCATGTAGACCCTATACTAAATACATTTAAAAAAACAAAAAACCAAAAAGCAAGCAGTGTTTACTAGATTTTTTTTTTTTTTTTGTAGAACCGGGGATTGAACTCAGGCCCTTCCTTGCGCTTGCCAGGGAAGCACTTATTCCACTGAGCCATCTCCCTGGCCCCTAGCAGTGTTTACTAGAATTGTCCCAGCTTTCTGTGGAACAGGAGTTCTGTCAGAGTCAGACCTGGTGGCATGTGTCTGTGATCCCAGCACTTGGGAGGCTGAGAGGGCAGCATTGCTGTGAGTTCAATGCCAGCCTTGTCTACATAGTTCAAGACCAGCCTGAATTATGTAGCAAGAGCCTGTCAACCCTCCCACCACCAAAAAAAAAAAAAAAAGGATTTCTGTTACTTGATTGTTTAGTAGCACTTTCAAGGAAGTGCACATTTGCAATGAATGAAGATTTTTTAAATAAACTATAGCTGGGCATAGTGGCAGCCACCTGTAATCCTACCAGTTGGGAAGCTGAGATAGGAAGATCACTGTGAGTTCCACTGCCTGGGTTATATAGTGAGTTCAAGGCCAGCCTGAACTGTATAGCAAGACCCTGTCTCAAAAATGTATTTATTTGCTGAAATATCTAGCATTTGTGTTGTTTTAAGTTTGTAAAGAAATGCAAAACCACTTTCCAAAAGGATTATGCCAGTTTGTATTACTAGTAATCATGAGAATTTCAGTATTTGGTATGGATATTTAATTATTCTATTATATGCATAGTGCCAACATGCTGTGATTTAAATTTTTCATTTCTTTAATGTTTAATAATAGCATCTTGTTTTTTTGTTTTGTTTTTTTGGTGGAACTGGGGATTGAACTCAGGTCCTTGCGCTTGCCAGCACTTATTCTACTGAGCTATCTCCGCAGCCCTTTT